TGCTCTTTCACTGTAATTATGCTGCCTTTGCTGAATGAAAGATGGCCGCTCTTCTTCGCTCTCCACATATACAAGGCCTGAGCCTGCATGTTCTCAACCAGTGTACCCTTCATCAAAACATTAAGACTGTCTAAAGGTTTTTGACAAAGCTGTATAATTAAACTTATGCTTATTCTCCTCTGTCTATTAACTTAACAATTTTATAAATAATAAAGAAGCTGGCTCTGAGTCCATCATCAGCTGAAACCATATAACCTAGGCCACTGGAAAAAGGTAATCTCAATCCCTGGACCAGAACTGAGATTAACTCTTTCCAATGGCTATGTTCTATGGTTTCACCTACTGATGGATACAAAGCCAGCTTCCATAATGATGTGTGCTTTCAAACTTATTAAACTAAGAGACAAAGGAAAATGTTCGAGAATATTATCATATCAAATATCCAGTTACTTTTCAGTAAACATATAACAAGAATATGAGTCAACATTTAGATACTTGAGACTGAAATTATCAATAAAACATAAATGAAATTCAAGATGACAAAAGGAAAGTAAATAATCTAACTAGTGCTTACCTGTCCCTGCACAGGACTTGGAAGCTCATTTATTTCAGGACCCTGTTCACCTGCAATCTCAGCTACAGAGCCATTGTCACTTGTATTCTCTGGAACCTCAGCTATACCTCTGGAAAGAGAAAGAACATTCTTATGCAGTCACCTCAAACATAATCACCAGTTGCTATCATGGTGATAATGAACATAAAATTATAATCAGAAAACTTGAATGGAAGAGACAACTTGGGAGACTCAGTCAAAGATGTGAGAGTAGTATTAACATTGATGTGCACTGGATTCACCTGGCTAAAGATAAGGTAGTAAACCTACAAGTTCCATAAAAGGCAAGGAATTTCTTGACCATATTAAAAAGAATCTTGCAGATGTTGTGAGGATGAGGGAGGGACAGCAGGTAGGCTTTGTTACTAGTGGTGTTGAACCTTCACTATCTACTGCCTGAGAGTCACTGTGTCTTCTATTGCAACATCAGGTGGTAATGCTACAGATGCAACAATGTGGCTCCTTCAAATGTTACAGTGAGCACAAAAGGACTGTCAACAGATTTCACACACGATTCTAGAAATTAGACTAAAATTCATACTGCGCTACATCTGTTCAGACATACTCAAGCTGACGTTTGGGTTGCAGTGAATCTGTCATGATGTCTGGAGGGAATGCTAAAGACGTGTCAACCTGGCCTCCTTCAGATGTTACAATGACAGCAGAAGGACTGTCAATTGGTTCCACATAAGATTCAGGAAACCACCCAGTGTGACCTCTGAGCTCTCCAGCTAGCCAACCTGGTTCTGAATTCTGGTTGACTGGTACCTGTAGGGAAGTGAAAGAGACAAACATTAAATCAGCACTGTTGCATCTACCTCATTACAATAAAATTTAACACACTGCTTGGAGGATAATATTAAAATGGAAATGAAAGAAACAGGGTGGAATGGTGTTGACCATATTCACGTGGCTCAGGTTACTGACCAGTTGTTGAAGACGGCATGAAAAGAAAAACAGAACCTCTTTCTACAGCATGAACTATGAATACAACTTACCATGATGACATCACCTGGCTGGAATGACAGCTCATCAGAATTTCGTGCCACAAACTCATAAATAGCTCGATACTTCAGTAAGTTATTGCTTGCAGCTGTAAGAGAAAGAAGTGTTTTCTGAAACATTATAATAATAATAATAATAATGACAGGTTCTTTCCATTATGAATATCATAAAACATTGTTTGAACAAATAAACAATGTACAAAATGTTGTTTAAATAAAGTGTGATAAACAAAAGGCAACTATATGTAGAATAAACTAGGAATTCACTTAACCCTTTGAAGCTAAAGCTTGCCTAAATAATATTTAACAATTCAGTCCACACCACACAGAAAATACAACAATTCAACTTTACTACAAATATTAAATGGCAGTGGCCTCTATCAGATGACTTTAGATGAATGGACCATTCAACATCGACTTATATAACAGAGTCTTCTAAAGCAAGACGAGAGACAGGAAAACTTGACAGCTCCTTTTGCATTCTCGCCTTTTCAGGATATATACTGACCTACTTCAATGTGGCTTACTGAAAAGGAAGAGACCCCACAGAACACGTACCCCTTTCATGATATTACTCTGGGTTTTGGCACCGTGTAGACTAGTTTGCAGATGCCAATGTATCATCACCACAGTGAAAATCTCAAATCTCACAGGTACCATTTTCTTCTACTTGAAGACAGAAGCAATATATATACATATAGACAATGGAAAACAGCCAAAGAAAATTCCAACATACAGACCAAACTTCTAACCTGGAGCAATTGTAGCATCTGTGGAGTTGGTCCAGTTATCTGCAGTTGTTGTGTCCCATGCCTCAGGTGCAGTATCCCAGGCTGTGTCATCCCAAGATGATGTAAAATCCAGTGGAGCTTTCATTCTTCCACTCACTCCTTTCATTTCAAGCACCTTAAAAATTTACAGTTGACCCTAGTCATTAACAATTTTGGTGAAATGTTTATTTTTCCTACTTTTCATTTCTAACATAAAAGTGTAATGTAGCTTAACATATTCAATGATAAAATTACATAAGTCAATTTATCAGAGGCTTTAACATGCCAAAATCAACTTAAACAAATTAACACACCCCTGCTCATAACTTTAATAAGATAAAGAAATCATATATAAAATAACACTGCATACCATGTAGATGAGACAAGTGATGATTGAACACTTTGGAGTGGTCTCTAAATTCATCATCAGGGATGATGTATTACAACTCCATTCTCAAAAAGCTGATTACTTGAGTAGACTTCATTGCATTCAGCTGCCTCTGAAAGCTTCAAATCTTACATTACTTACCTTATTTCTTCGTTCTTCATAGACTGAATATAACTGTTCACATTCTTGAATAAGTAATGATAACTGCTGTTTTAAATCTCCCAATTGGCTGTTATTATTTTTTATATCATCAAGTTTCACTTCAATCTGAAGAAGAAACACATAAAATGATGTTAAACAATAATACAATTTCTATAAAGACTTCCACTTCCTTTTATGACCACTAAAGCAATTTGAATAACACATAATAAAAATCTGAACTTTTCACAAGTTTTATATTTATTCAGCTGTCATAGCTCAGTCAGTATAGTGACTAGCTATGGACTGGACGACCGGGGTTAGATCCCCGACAGGAGTAGAGGATTTTTCTTCTAGCCTTTGCGTTCAGACCAGATCTGGAGCAGACCCAACCTCCTATTCAATGGGTACCAGGGTTCTTTCCCAGGGGCAAAACGCGGCTAGGGCTTGATGCTGACCACTCACCCCCATCTAGTGCCAAGGTCAAGATTGAGTAGGAGCTATACCTCCCCCTTCCCCCAAGCACTTACATGGTGTATAGTGATACAGTTTTACTTTTACTTTACTTCGTATTTATTCAGTGAGAGTTTACAAATTAAAACAAGAAATATTGTCTTCAGACTGAGAAATATATAAACACAAGAAACTACCCAAACTAAAGAGATTTTCATTAAATTAATATTGGTGGCCCTTATTATAATTTATCAAACAAAGTAGTTTTACAGATTAATAGAGAATTCTGACTATGGATTTCTGTGACTCTAGTTTGCACTTCATTTCATTACTAACGTACAAGAAAACTTACCTCTTTCTGTAAGTCCTGCAACCTATCTCGCAGTTGTTTAAGAGTAATTTGTTTATTGGTAAATGCTAATTTGACTTGTTCTTGATTCGCTGTATCAGCAGCTATATTCATCTTATTTCGAGCTTCAAGTCGTGACTTTTCTTGGCTCAAAGCTACCAAACGTTGATTTTGTTCCTTTAATCGAGCCTTCAAGGCATTCATCTCTGAAAGTTGAGTATCACGTGTTGTTCGCATCCCATCAATGGTCGTCTTTACGCCCGACACTCCCACTCGTGTGTCACTAATCTTCTGTGATAACTCTTTTACTTTTTCATTCTAGAAAGAATTAAAACAGAAATCAAGTATTCTGCAATGATTTAGACACATACAGACCTATGTGCAGTAAACGAAGAAACAAGATTACTCAAAATGGCAATGGAACTGAAACAAAATAGGAAAAAAATGCAATGAATGACTGCCAAGTGAGGATAGATATAAAAATAAGAGATGGCACAAAAAGAACTACTAAAATAATTAACTTTATTCACTCACCAGCTGTGATAGTTCTATACTGAGATTCTGGTTCTTAGCCTTCAATCGAAGCACTTTTTCCTGTTCCCTTTGTCGCTGTTGCTGCAATTCTTGACATCGTTGTTTCTCCCATTCTAACTGCCTTTGTCGTTCCATTTCTCTAGGGGAGAAAAAACAACAAAACAAACATGCTTTTTAATTATGAATTTTATCACATCAAAACAAATTTTTTACAACCATAATATAGAAGGTGAAGAAAACTGTCACATGGTAACATGTGCAGCAAAATTAAAGTTCTGCATGCACAAGAAGAAAAAGAAGTGACAAAATTACAAATGAATAAATACAAAGGGAAAAAGCTTGTGAGTGTACCTACTGCATTCCCTGCCAACAAACAACATTAACATGTATTTATAAAGGATAGTCAGATTTCACGTTACAAATAACTAATTACTTAATTACAATCCAAATAAAAAAAAACAAATATATCAAGTAAAAAATACTCAATGGGCACTAATAATATTAAGAATGTTTATTAATAATGTGAAAATTTAATCTTGAAGGCTTGGAAAGACAACATAGGAAATTTCAACAAAACCAAAGCATACCTTCTCGCTGCTTCCCTCTGTTCCTGAGCTCTTCGTCTCTGCTCCTCTCTCTCTTGTTCAACTTCTCGTTGCCGCTGCAGCTGTTTCTCAAATTCTAGTTGTCGGCGACGTTCTTGTTCTTGTCTGGAATTATAATTATATAGGCTTCATAAATACAGCACTTTTCAAAAATAAAACCGTTGTAGTATTTGAGATTTTCACGGCAGTGAGTCTGAAGATGACTGTCTTCTGGGCTGTTGCGCTGTGCAGTCTGGTAGGAGTTTACTGACATTTCAAAAGCCCCTGCTGCCTCCAGCATCAGGGCAATCACATCATCCTGATAATGCAGGCAGACTACATGGTGCTACAACTCTAAAGACAGCCATCTTAAAAATTGTTGCAGTATAAATTTCAGTTGCAATACTAGTTAACACAACATTTCTACTTACCTAATTCGCTCCCTCTTTTCCTGTTCCTCCTTTTCTTTTCTCTCCCTCTCTTCTTGTTCTTTACGTTGGATCTCCAATAGTGCTTTACGCCTCCTCTCCAACTCTGCTTGGCCTTTCTCAAAATTCTCTTTACGCTTGTCTTCAAATGTAACTATAACCACATAAATAAAATATCACTTAAAAATAGGAAACAATGTGTAATATTCATGGGAATTACTTTTAGATTTTAACAATTTTGGGGGAGGGGATATAATTAGATTTATTCATACTTTTATCCCCACAATCACTAATTAGGTATTAGTACTTGGATTAGCCTGGCTCATACATTCTGCTGAAAGCTGTCCATTATATTTTTCACTAATAATATTTCTCTATGCATGACCACCACTAGTTAAGGCACAGATCATTTTAACATTCAAGTTCTTGTATTACAATGTACTTAACTTTCTACAAGAAATTCTGTTACTTTCTTCATTTATTATCCTACATGGCATAGAGTTCCCTAATATTTTCAATCCAACAGTAACAACATTATGTGCCTAATCTATATTCAAAATAAATAGCTATGATCAACAGATTAGTTTCTCATGAAAACCAAATCAACATAAGAAATACTAGCCTGTTGGCAAGCTGGCAGCTGCATCTTTCCCTTCAGTCTGTTCAGAAGGAATTCCTGCAACACTTCCAGTCAGACTGCCCTGTCGCTGTCGGCGAAATGTTGGGGGTATAAGGTCAGCTGGTAGGGTTGGTGGTATCTTCTCACCAGCTTTAGCCATTTCACACAAATGCAATGCCAAGACAAATTCTTCACATGACAGCCGTCCATCTGAATCCATGTCTGCTAATGCCCTGTAAATAGAACATTTAATATACTAGCACTAAACAGGCATTAAAAATAGCTGTTAAACAAGAATGGTGCAATTCAGGTTTCTGAAAAATCAGAAGTGCATGATTTAAAAATGCTGTTCTAACTGGTTAAATCAGCATTTCCACTTTCACATATATAAGGGGGGAAATAGGTAACGCCCAAACACACAAAGAACATCTCAATAGAAGAAATAAGCAAAGAATTCAAATTAAATAATATACTAATTTTAACTTAACCTCAAAAAATATTAATAACCAATAAAGATATCTTCAGAGGACCATGCTGGTAAAGAATCCTTTATGTGAATACTAGAATACTATTTATTGTACTCACCAAATCTGTGCTAGAACTGGTTGTGGAAGCTGTGTCTGTACCATGATGTTACGAGCTTGTGGCCCTGAAAGGTATCCAGATCGTGCCCGATCTGTTGTGTTGAACAACTGAGTGTATTTTAACTTTGACTGGTGTGGAACAGCCCATTCTTGAAGTGGAGAACCCAAAGACAAACTAAAAGAAAAAAATGTTACAAAGCAGCCTGGAAAATGTTTACATTAAGGTGCACCCAGACTACTTGGAATCATACACCATCTAATGTGCCTCAGTAAGTGTTGACGTTTCATAAACCCAAGCCCAACCAGATGATCAACTTGAAACATGGGCTGAGAGGTTCATTACAGTGTTGGCAGAGCCGTCTGTACACGCTGACAACATGCACCCTGAATCTATGCAGCACAAGTCAAAGTACAAGTCAGAGTCAAGTTGTGCAAGCACCTTTACAGTTCCCCCTTTTCAAAAGTCACTCCAAATTCTTAATAACTGTCAATAGTAAAAGTGCCAAATCTGTATTACTGTATATTCATATTATCTCATTTCATACATATATAAAACAAACACATATTCTATCATTTCACATGATATATAATATGATAATAAAATATGCTTGTTACTTGTTTCCAGTCATAACAAAACAAAGGGCTGTCAAAATTTGGTAAATGTCATTAAAGTGATGTACCTACAAATGTAAGAAATTAATTCCTTGGTACAGAATTCTAACCAGCCAAAGATCTTGTTTATACTTACGGAGAATCAAGGGACACTACCCTTTCTACGGCAGAAACAGGAGGTACCACAGTGGAAACTGGAATCAAGAATTTAATTCAGTTATTTATGAATAGTTTGAACAAGCATGGATGATCTGAGTAGATTAATTTTTCAAATAAATTTGTTGTAATTTTGCATACCTCAATGTAAATTTAAACATATTGTTACACGTCTAATCACACTACAGATATTGAAGAGCATCGTACATTTCATTCTTGCACTGCTATAAATCTGCCAAATGGCTTAGAAATTCTGTAGTCAAAGAACTGATAGTGGCATGTCCTGCCATATATCTGCAATGACCAGGTTCACTTGCATGCTGATAATTTATGGTCTTAATCAGATCCCCATTTGGTAACGAATATAACAAAAACTAATTCAATATCACTAAGATTAAATAACATGAATGGTTCGATTTTTAATTACTTAACAATGCTACAGGGCTAGTCTAAATGATGTTCCAATTTGAAACACGTTACTCACGTTTAATGAAATTCAGATACACAAAATTGGTACCAATGGAAAGAGAAACTCTCCAAGTTTATGTTGGTATACTTCGCGGCCGTGTAGTAACACTGTTCGCCACCAGGGGCAATATGAGAGAAAATGGCTGTCATCGAAGACAGGGGAGCCTTTTGTGTCCTGGATTTCCATGTTCACCGGACCTGAGGCCCTGTGATTTTTTTCTATGGGTGTTCGTCAAAGATAGTATTCGTGCCACCCTTACCACAGACCTTGCTTGATCTGCGAGCACGTATCACAGCAGCCATTGCAGCAATCGATCATGATATGCTGCAACGCGTCTGGGAGGAACTCGACTACAGGCTGGATGTGTGCCGAGTTACCAAGGAGGTTCACATTAAACACCTGTGACCACAAAGAGACATATTTCAAGATACTATTCTGAACGCAAAGGAACCTTTGTCAAGATGCCTTGGATTTGTGATGGGTACATTGCAAGTCAGGCATGCCAGAGCTGATTCAACAAGGTTGTTTTAAGTAGTATGAAGACTAACGACTTACCTGGTGGTGGCCGCGGAGGTGCGGTACCTTGACCCAAAGCAACTGAACCATTAGTAAGAGAGTGGGAAACAGGCTGTGATATTCCTACAGGCATGCTGACTGGCGGAAGAGCAGGTGTAATGCCCATTGGTGCAGGAACTGTACTCGGGATCATACCTAAAGGAGCTGACGGAATTCCAGTTGGTCCTACACCAAGAGGGGCAATTCCAACTGTGCCTGGAGGAACACCAACAGGTGCAACCTGAGCCACACTGAGGGGAACTGTCATTGGTGGAATGGCATTACGCTGCTGCGTGGTCATAGGAATAATTGGAGGTGCCATACTGGGACGTGGAACACCAACTCCAAGCGCTGGTCCTGGTACTAAAGGAGGTTGAGGCATGGGAGGAACAGCAGGTGGAGTACTCTGAAGCATATTGGTTACACCACCTGAAATTAAAAACATCAGGCAATTGAAAATACACACGTAATGTAATAATTATCATACATTTGCCAGAATCTGACTTTTGCAAATGGCAAAATGATATCAAAAGGCATCTAGTACCTGACTGGGTGGGTGATAACATCACAGAGGATTCTCCATCCAGTGTATGTTTTTATTATTACCCAATTTTAACCAACATTGTAATGTGTGGGCAAATTTCAATAAAAGACCCAATACAAAGTTAATAAACATCCATTTAGCCATTCTTAGACTGTTACATGCAGACAGATAGAAATATGTGGAGAAGTTAACAGGAAAATTGTTTTGCAACTTTCAATTGTGAACATGTATAAAAGCAATAATTGATATTCAAATTACAATTAACTTATGCACATTAAAAAGTTCATGCATAAATCCAATCTCAAAATACATAAATATCAAAATTTATATGACTTGGAACACGGAGGTGAAGGCCAAACAAAATTAAAACGTTGTAAGGGTAGAAAATAACTATTCCACTTCCATAATATGAAGTTAAGAACATACCAAATGGTTTTGGTTGTTGCAAGAGACTAGGAGGTAGCACCTTAGGTAACTCAAAGTTCCGTAGTTTCAGGTTGATCAACTTGCATGCTATACTGAACTCTTCAATATTCATCTTCCCATCAGCATCTGTGTCTGCTAGTGACCTAAATAATAAAATCAAAGTATATATTTGGTCTAACGGTAAGAAAGATGTCAAAATTCACTTGCATCACACAAACACATTTCTAAGAATGCATACTAACTGTCAATTATATGTTATTTGCACTGTGGATTCAAATTAATAAAAATAATTACAAAAAATCTATTGGAAAGACTACATTTGCATAAAAATTTGTATCTCCAATAATGTTATTAAACAAGTTAACTGTTTTAAATGAAAGTGATAAAAAATACTGAAGCAATTCTAAAATACAAAATTTGGTTTATTACACCCAGTGTAATATACCAAATCTTGAAAAAAACAATTTGGTTCAGAAACATTAAGAAATTAGAGTTTACAACACTGTAGCATGATCAGGGCAATGAGTATTACTATCATCGCCCTGATGATGGAGGCAGCTACAACCCAGAAGGCAGTCATCCAAAGATTACACAGTACCACAACGAGAACACAATATTCTTGGTACCACTACAATGCTAAAGTATGATCACGGATCTAGGATTGGCTAAATTATGCCATTTGGGAGGAGACATCACACAAAAGGAATTTCATACCAAATGTGTCCCAGAATTTGTGGCTGAAGTCGTGACTGAAGCAAGAAGCCTTTGGCCTGATCGCCTGTGACAATCCCATTAACAGGATGCAAGGCTCGGAACTGTTCTTCATAACGAGCTCTTTCTTGTGGAAGGATAATCCATGGATCTACAGCTCCGCCTATAAAGATATTTAAATTTTATATACTTCAAAAATGGCTTGTCAAGCAATGGACTCTTTACTAACAAATTATAGTCAGCTTGGTGTAGGCCTGACCTATTACAGGACGGTTTCACTCTTAAAATATTACTTCAAATGTTCACATCTTCACCATAGTAGTCCACTATGAAACAAAGTAATTCCAGAAGTAGTTAGCAAAATTGAAGACTGATCAATCAAAATTGAAACATAAAGTATGTTGTGGCAAATATACTTGCATAAAAATCACAAACAGCTTTCATAGCACAAAAGAATTACAGGATTTCATAAGTAGGACATTTAAGTAGCTGGGCAACTATTAGATTCTCTAGAAGGACTCTATCCAATGGAATTATTTACTTTTGTTACATGAAATGGTTTAATATATTAAAGACATGGATGTACTTGGGGATGGGATGTGTGGTAAATTTTAGGTACTGCGGGTGTAGAAACTTACATTTCACCACTAAAACCACTACATTTTTTACTGCATGTTTTCATTCTTCATCTGTGAACATTCAATGCAGCATAAATATGTTATCTATGCAGCATTATGTTTCAGTAGTGTCAGCTTTCACAAGTGCATGAATGCTGTACAGACAGAGACTGTGACCTCATTTCATCCACATACTGTTGTCACATGACACAGACATACAAGGTGATAAATTTAAGAACAGCTTTTATGCACATTAGCAAACTAAGGAACTGCGGCAACAGGAAAAATTAAAGTCTCTTCTATGACTGGCTTTTGGGATAGAGTACCCACTATGCTTCTATTTCAATCCTTAAAACAAGAGCACTCTCATCTAAAACACATTAGTCATTGCGGCTTTTTTAACACAAAGGGCATAAATAAACTAGTAATGGTGAGATAATATCAGTCTGTCCATAAGCCTAATTCCTCTAAAACTACTAAATGGATTTTTATGATATACCAGACATGTACATCAAACAATAACTTTGGGTTGATCTTGTTCCCTTCTTACATGTTTATAAAGCAACAGCCTACTATGATAGTCTTCAGTAAACGTTAAACCTATGTTTTATTTATTTAGTGTTCTGTCTGACGACAGGTCCATATGAACAGGATCCTTCCATCCTTTTCTCGGACTGGGACCAGAAGTGGTTTGCCATTGCCTTCTTCTGTGTGTGAATGGAGTAGTTGTTGGGATGCCACGGAGAAACCAGGCCTTGTCCAACACAAGTTATAAATTCGGGCACCACCGGGAATTGAACCCGAGACCCCAGGATTACAAGGCCAGTGTTCTAACCGCTAGACCACCATGGCTCTAAACCTATGTACAAAACTTTTATATCACATGAGCAGATGTGGTGTATAGACTACATTTCAAGTGTGGTCAACCTTTTCTAACACTAAATGGATATTAGATTACTACCTGCTGATAGAAACAACTTATTTTTAAAAAAACATGATTATAAAGTTACTTTCAATCAGACTAATTTTAATAAAAGCATGGAATTGCTTTAAACTCTTACATGTTATGAATCATACTATAAAACCTCCACATAAAAAACAATTACAACTACAGCAACAACAAATCAGCATAATTACCCAGTGGAGCTGCCATGACTCAAATCTTCTGAAAGCTGAAAATACATGAGATATAAAATTTCAGTAACTTTTGAAAATCTTATTGAGTAAAATTCTACATAACAGATTGTAATTACATAATTTATTTATTCACGTTGCCTTAACTCCATAGGTTATAGGCATTGAAAGACAAATGGCAGGGTAATTTTTAAACTACCACATTAATATAGTCATCTCATTACATGCCATGTAGGCACACGAGAGTGGAGTAATATGCACTCTTCCATAATATTCAGGTCAGCAGAATCTGGACCAACCATCCTGACAGGGCAGTCAGCATTATCCTTAGTTCCTCCTGATAAATGCTGGTATTTAACTTATTCTAGGCTACAATGACTTTCCACAATCTTCCATAACCTCTACAGGTGGAGTTGACATAAACTAAAATCCAAGTGTGCCCGTTTTAACGTGACAGAACCTGTAGTTCGACAAATTAACAGTAATGTCCTTCCGACATGCACTGATTGTAAGCTACAAGATTCTAAAACAATATTTCCTAACATAATTTCCATTGAGAGACAGTAATACAAGCATCAAAAGCAACAAAATAAGGCGTACGCTCGAATTTTATGCCAAGGAAGCTTTTGATATAAGGTTAAAACTGCCGGTGTACCTGATAAAATTAGTATTTTAAGTTTCTATGGGAATGAAGTGCAACGACATCACCAAAGCCAATTCTCTCCACCAAAATAAAACATTCTACACAATAGGTCAATTTTGACCTCTTCCTGTCAAGACGACCTTATGATACGTCACCAATCGATACTGCTGCAAACAGTCAAACCACCAACTTTACAGATATCTTCAAATATCCAAATAGATTTATTGTATTTAAAGTACAGTAAATATCACTTGTGCATTCATAGTTCTATAATTTCAAATTCTGTGGTATTTTAAACGTATGTGTTGTTTGGTTACAACCAATTATAAAAGACTTTCGTGTCACTTGTCCGAACACTTACAAGCGATATTGTGGGCATAGAAAACAACCCGTATTTCTGAAAAAGAGGGAGGGGGCAGAACATTCCCGACATCTATTAGCAACCGAAAGACTTACTTAAGCAAAGAATACGATGATGATGACTACCTGCAGTGCCACGCAGTGTGGCAGAAATTTCCGAACATCAGGGCGATTGCCCTGATGACGGCGGCATAAAGGAACTGTGAAATGTTGGCGAACCTCTGCCAGACATAGACCATGCTAAAATCCAGAAAAGAGCCATCTTACAACTACAAGTCATTAGTGGTTGGCAACGCGCGTGTTGCTGTCATCTATCCCCATCTAAAAGAACTACTATAAAAGCGCTCTGACAGTAGAATCTGGCATTAATTCATATTAGTAGCCTATGGCAGGAGCTCATTCGGTAACAAAATTAACTACCATCCAACACGTTCAACTACCAACCCCCATCAACATACTGGATATGAGAATGGTTGTCTTCTGGGGTGTTGTGCCACGAAGGCTAGCAGAAAATACCCAAGCTGCTTACTGCCTCCACCATCAGACATTTTGAACAGCTGATCTTGGTACCATTACAAATATTTGTATTCAACCTTGTAACTTTAGTTTTTGAAAGTCACATAAAACACTGTTTTCCAGTCACTGCAATTTATTATAAATGAATAGCAACAAACAATAATATTAGTTCCCACATAATATTCACATATTTACCAGTCTTATATCAAAAACTTTCACAAATTTCCTAACTTATTTTTACTCGACGAGCGTTATTTTGAGAAAGATCACTTGTTTTTGTCAATTTTTAGACCTTTCCTCATGGCAGTACAAATTTTGACTCTCATCCCCACTCTCTTCTTCTCCCTTTACTCTCACAGCAGCACTAACAGTGTTTGTCATGTGCTGGAAGAACACTTTTCATTGCAAATATGTTCCGTAACTGCTAGAAACTCCTTGCCTTTACAAAGGTTCACAGTATGCCACCAGTGGATCCTACTACGAAGCCCTTACATCCATTTCTATGATCCATTTTAATATGACCTTTTATATCTCCCAAACAATTTTTTCCCTTCAGTTATGTAAACACAGTGTAGAATTCCTTGATCAGTTGAGTAATTATTTGCTTCTCACGGAGAACACTGCTCCATAGCTTAAGTTAGTATAAATTTCTGTGGGTAGGCAAAGAACAAGGGAAAACAATTGCCAGTGGAACCACGGTTCCGGAGAATCTGACGTAAATACATCTTTGTATTTAAATTATGTAGCCACGGTGGTCTAGCGGTTAGAATGCTGTCCTTGTAATCCTGGGGTCTCGGGTTCGATTCCCGGCGGTGCCCGAATTTATAACTTGTGTTGGGCAAGGCCGTGGTCTAGGCATCCTCCCGGGGCTTCCCCGGTTTCTCCGTGGCATCCCAACAATTACTCCATTCACACACAGAAGAAGGCAATGGCAAACCACTTCTGGATCATCTGCCAAGAACGTATATGAACAGGTCCCAGTCCGAGAAAAGGATGGAAAGAACCTGTTCATATGGACCTGTCGTCAGACAGAACAATAAATAATAATAATAATAATTTAAATTATATTTAGGCAATAAATACAATGAAAGGAAGTTTATATATTGGCTTTATTCTAAATATTCCCTTTATACATGCTTTACAATTGAGTAAATAGTTTGTTTAAGACATTGCTTATTTAACTTGAATTAGTTACGCTTAAGATGGGTCTGTGGTAGCTGAAATATGTTATAAAATTTGTACACTTTAGAGTATCAACATTTCGTGCAAACACCATTTGATCTAGTAGTACAACATCAAGGATTTGACATCAACATTAAGCCATAAATGTGACAAAGCTTTGATTTTCCTCCTTCTTTAAATCAATGTTTAAAATCTCCTGACAATATTATGGGTCCTTATTTACTGATCATTTTACATTACCCTTACTCTTACCATTCCTGAGGAATGAACGTTTAAAGGTGACTCGTCGCTGGATCTTACACATCTTCGTAACTAACGATGTTTTTGCCGAATGACCCTTCCGTATGGACGTATTTACGTCAAAAGAAGACAAGCCTAATTCTCTTACACGAGTTCACAAATGCAGATAAAAACATTAAATGTGATGAACAATAATAATAAATACGAATCCCTTACCTCAAACTTTGTTCAATTGTTAGAGACCACGATGTCCACCGGCAATGACCAATTTAATCAAAACTAAAATGGAGAGAGTGGAGGGCAGTATCACAGATTTCTTAATAATTCTTATATAAGATAAGTACAAGCGATTCACAGCCCAGCTCTTTCCGCAACGAAAGCGGATTGTAGACGGCATTAATGAAACACAACAATGCCGAATAAACAGACGACATAACAATTTGTTTCTTAGGTAAAGGAGTGGATTGCAATACGGTTTATTCACGCAATTATACAGCATGCATAATAAATGAGAAAAGAGCCTTACAGCACGCTCAGCCAATATAGTTGCAGGCGTGTGTTAGAAATTCGAATCCTTTTTATTGCATTGTTATGCATGTACCAAGCTTGTAGTCAGCTTCACATATACCAATGATCGAACCAATTAAAATTAATTGACTCCAATAGTTGGCATCGTGCACTTTCAGTGTTCAACCATTCGTGCTGAACAAGAATATTACCACTCGCGCGTATTAGTAAGAGCATGGCCTGAAAGTGGGGTTTATTGTTGTACTACGCATGTCAATGTTTCATTACTCACTAAATCTTCTGAATTTGTTGACTGACTTTAATGTATGCACTTGAAAGAATTTTTCTTTAATTCTCCATTGCCAGTAATGGAGTGGTTGTCGGGTAATCGTCTGTGGTACACGCAATACTACCGCCATATTTTTAAGTGTCGTAAAGTTCTGTAGGTTTGGACATATGCGCTTTTGTTAGGTTTGAGACAGATGTTACAATTACAGAGTATATACAGAATATGCAAACTCATATGTTCTGAATATTTTAATGTTATTTATAGTGGTCTTCAAATATTGAAATCAATCTCATGAATTCACGATATGAAAGGAACTATTTTTGACACTTTCTACATTTTGTTATCCTTTTAATATTCTTGCCTCCAACTTGGAACAATATGAGACTCGGTGTCACGTTTTAATATTATACAGCCCGACAGAAATCAATTGCATGCACGCTACTTCGCAGTAAAAATATGGGGCAACTACATCACCTAATGTGGCGCTACTGATGAAATAAAGGAGGGGCCACGTACGAAACCAGGGTCACGTTTTAGGAAGCACAGAGCTACTCGTTTTCATTGTCTTGTCTTGCAACAAATTTGGTATAAACAAGCAGGCCTACAGTAAAACCCACTTATAACAAAAAACCCAAGGCACGATTATTTTTTATTTTGCATTCCGTACGAGCACTTTTGCTCTCGTTTCCTTCCTCATTTCGTTCTGCGTCCCTCTCCACCGTTATTTAAATTTCTCTTCAATTTTCTCAGTCGGATTCAATAATATTTATTTCTGAAGATGGCTGTCTTCCGGGTTGTTACGCCGTGTAGTCTGGTAGAAATTTACCAACGTTTCAGAGGTCCTTCCTGCCTCCACCATCAGGGCGAGCAAGGACCTCTGAAACGTTGATAAATTTCTACCAGACTACACGGCGTAACAACCCGGAAGACAGCCATCTTCAGACTCACCACCGTGGAAACCCCAAATCCTACGAAAAACGACACGTTAGTATTTATTAGTCTAAACTAAATGTTATTTAACTGGCAATTCGAAATGTATCTGTCTCTTCGGAACAAACATAATTTTGAAAGAGACTCTTTGTGGCTGAAACAAGTAGAAGTCAAGAGGTCGAATCTTTTCTATTTATTGGCCAATCAGCGTTAATTCCTTCGCTAGAAATGCTGACCTAAACATTAAAAAAGAAAAGTTTCGTCAAACTTTTAATGCATTCCCCATGCTTAACGATCAATACTCTGACGGCTTACCATGTCGTAAATTCTTATCCAATAGGCTAGCAGTGCGCGATCAGTCGGTTCTGTCCGATTGGTCACACTGCATGGCCTCATAGTACGGACACTTGAACACACTTTCCTTGTTCTGTCGTTCCAGTGCTCAGTGTTCCTTCATAGTCTTCAGTGCGTACAGAAGCATAATTAAAATCCAGTAGTTAACTGTGTTGAAATCGAGGTGACGAGTAAGAGGTGAACATCAACATACTAAGAATATTAAAATCTGTATTATTATGTGTATTCGCAGATTTTGCTGTATGCAAATTTCATAGCGTTTTGTTAGAAAGGTTTTTTTTAAGTACAGGTCTGTATTTAAATTCGTCTCTACACCTTCAATGCAATTAAGAAACTCCATTGAGCAGAGTTAAACATCGAATACACTCGGAATTGTCATATGACTAGATCATCGCTTAGGCAGCTAGATGAAAGATTCTCACCGCGGAGGCCCGGATTTGTGATCAGGTCAGTCCACGTGGGATTTGTGGTGGACGGAGTGGCAATGGGATAGATTTCTCTGCTTTCCCCTGTTAATATCATTCCACCGCTGCTCCATATCCATCTCCTGTCACCTCGAGATGGAAAATGGGCCGTCTATCTTCCTTTGTTTGAAGTTGACCTACCAATGTAACCAAGTCACTTTCTGAAAGATTATTCGGTATTTTGATGTCAATTATCACATGCATGTTAATGTAGGACCAGTTGTTGTGCTGATGACATATCTTTGTGACGTTATCAAGTTACGGCTGTAACTTGCAAGGTGGCGAGCTTTAAGCCACTTTTACATTAGCACAAATACCATCTTTACGCAATGCAACGTGTTCTGACAAACGAGACACTGGCTACCGAGCCATAATGAAGCAACGTGAATATCTTAATTTATGTTAGTTAATTTTTTTACATTATGTTTTGCTTGGTGCGTGAAACTAAGGCACAGTGAGTAGGTCTTACTCGTTTATCCACATTTTCGAAACCAATGAATGGATTTCTATTAAAGTTAGTGTTGATGGCTTTACAGAAATATAATTTTATTGGTATTGATACAGGCGGAATAGTCACTACACGAAGCTCAAAAAACCAAAGACATACAAAATGCTTTCTCGACGAAAGTCGCCATTTTACTTTCATATAAACAGCTGCTCTCCTAGCGGGAATCGTTGGAGCCACGTCACTACTGTAACATGCTACAACAGTTTTTGTTAAATAAATATTTGAGTGGACTTTAACACAATTTATCATAAAACATACTTTACTAGCCGTGATGTGTAGATAATAGATTTCTGTTTCAGGGCAGTTCCCAAACTGCTGTGTGACCCTGAAGAACAGAGTCAAGGTAAAGCGATCCTCCCCACATAACTGATAAGACCGTGATTTACACACAAACACTGCACAGAGTAATGCCCGCGACAGTTGAAGGCGGACGCAGCTCATTTGTTATTTAAACTACATTTGTATTGTTTGGTTTAATTTTTAATGTTAAAGGCCAACGTGCGTATTGACGAGGCGTCACTTTTCCATCGCTAACTCAGGTTTAGCGTCGCAGGAACATCGGATTTCTTAACGTTACATTTTAACTTACCTCCCATCTACGTCTTGATCTCTCAAGTTACTCTTCTCTTCAAGGTTTTTCCTACTAATTTTTTTTACGTGTTTATTATCTCTATCACGCATGCTACATGCTGTCTAATCTCAAAATCCTTTATACGTTCACCCTAATATTTTAGAAGAGTACAAATTATTAAGTTTCTTTTTATGAAATTCCCTCCAGCCTCTTGGGTCTGTGGTCTGTTCCGATTCGTAATATTTGCGAAACAGCTAATCTTTGCTTGTGTAGATTCAACACTAAACATTCTCTCAAAGCTGATAATTTAGACAGTTTCTGTACGATAAACCGTTTTATGGGAAACTCGACGAGAATTATTTTGCGTGTAGCCCACATGAGGACGCTTTAAGGGAGCATTTTTAAACTCTTGATTTAAGTAAGAACTAACAAAATTACGGAAGTCTAGCGAACGAATATGTGATTAAAGCAATTTCAAGGTTGTTAGCACGTCGGAAATGGAGCGACGTATTACTCACTAAGCACGTCGCCTGTGTTATTTTAAAACTGGGCTACTGGTCAAAATTATTCGTACGTATTTTAAAACCCTTACACCTTGTCCTCGTATCATTTAGGTTCATTGTGACAAATTCCCGTAAATTCTAACAGCTTAATAACCAGTTACGCAAGTGAAACAAAGCTGAACCTGATGCTTACTTCAATACCATGCCATGAAGACGCAAGAGGGGACTAAGGTATACCTCCAATCATTCTTAGCCTTAACATAAGAAGATGGTACTTCACACTCCCGCTTCTAAGTTTGCACAATAACAACTTAGCAACAGAATGCATGCCCAGGCGTGTTCGCTCTAAACATGGGAACAGCAGACTAATTTCAACCAAACGTAACCTTCCGATCAATTGTTAATAAAATGCCATAACAATACAACAAAATCGAGTCCAAATGTGATTTTTGTATGGATTTTTGTGGTAAGAAGAGTCTTCATGCACTTGCTGTTCATCTCGTACTTAAATTTCATTACCCTTTAATTACAGCACAACCTTTGAAGTCACTCGTTACATAATTTCACCCTTTCTCCTGCTACGTAATCTCACTTAAGTCCAACTAATCTCTTCAACTCTTTGTCTTCTTCAGTCTCTGTTCCCACCTGCCCCAGATCTCATCTCATTCGCCTTCTTTAAATCTCCCGCGTTTCCAACATCTGTTTCGTGGGCACCCCCCTCCCCCCCACGAACAATGCCACAACTTGGTGCCTTGAACAGATGCAGGCTGTAGTCTGGTCTTTCTGGAAGCCACGAACACACCTAGTGACGCCTGAAGCTCTTCATCGCACACGCTGCACCAGAATGGCTTCAGATTCTCAGGTATTGCAGATCGTGTGAACCTTAACTCTTTGGGGCAGGCTGAAAATTCAATTTCTATCTCAAAGAAAACACAGCACTTCATTACAAAGATCAGTTTTCATTGCTGTTAAGGAAATAACAGCTGTTTATTCAGAGAATGTGTGACGAAAATGCAGATTTATGATTGTTGACGACGGTGGTACTTGACGTTAAGGGTTACAGCACAATGGGTACTTAACATTCGACCAGTCGAGTGAATGCTAAGAAGACGGGACTCTCCCAGTTTATAAACAAGGTCGACGTCTTCCGGCTTCCAATCACAATTCTTCTTTATCCTGCCACTCCCCTCCCCCTTCCAGTAGATTTTCTCCTACTGGATCACGGATTTATTGCGTCTAACCATCGATTTCTCTCCTTGATGTCACCAGCTGATTACAGCACTTGTTCGAGTCTATAAGGAAGGGTCATTCGGCAAAAAAGTGGAACGAAAAAGGGAAACGAAAAGTGTAACAAGTGTACCTAGGAAACGTAACGTTACATTACCTTACCTTACCTTACATTAGCCACGGTGGTCTAGCGGTCAGAACACTAGCCTTGTAATCCTGGGGTCTCGGGTTCGATTCCCGGCGGTGCCCGACTTTATAACTTGTGTTGGGCAAGGCCGTGGTCTAGGCAACACGGAGTTTTCCTCCGGGGGCTTCCCCGGTTTCTCCGTGGCATCCCAACAATTACTCCATTCACACACAGAAGAAGGCAATGGCAAACCACTTCTGGATCATCTGCCAAGAACGTATATGAACAGGTCCCAATCCGAGAAAAGGATGGAAGGATCCTGCTCATATGGACCTGTCCTCAGACAGAACACTAAAACTTCCTTTCCGTATAGACGTATTTACGTCAAATTCTCCGGAACCATGGTTCCACTGACAACTTTTTGTTCAAATATCACCCAAAACATAAAACTGAATTAAGCTGTTTATTCAATTACGCGATTTGACTGTATAATCGTGAATCATGATCCTTCCACGAGAAAATATACCGCTCAATTCAAAGCACCAATACAATAATATATGGTCCATGGTCTGTGAAATCATTTCCCCCTACCCCTAAAACCGGGAACCTCCCAACAAAACGCGGCTGAAGTGCTAACCACTTAACCTCAGCGCTCAGTATAGTTTTACTTAGTTACGCGAAACAAATACGTGGAACACCTTGGTTAACATTCCTTCCTTCCGCGAACTACTATCAGCATCGAATCACACCACTTCGCTACTTGAAGGTCTCAAACCAGTTTATCTCCTCACGTACTCGGAGGATTTACGTGGCTTTAGATAGGCCCATTTCCACTTCTGTTGGTTGTTATTGTCATTACTGGTATTTGTTTAGTACGGCAGATATTTGTGATTGATGTGACTAATTATTTTGATAAACGACTTTTATGTTACATATTCCTTTCGTGAAGCCACGGTGGTCTAGCGGTTAGAACGCTGGCCTCGTAATCCTGGGGTCTCGGGTTCGATTCCCGGCGGTGCCCGAATTTATAACTTGTGTTGGGCAAGGCCGTGGTCTACGCAACACGGAGTTTTCCTCCGGGGGCTTCCCCGGTTTCTCCGTGGCATCCCAACAATTACTCCATTCACACACAGAAGAAGGCAATGGCAAACCACTTCTGGATCATCTGCCAAGAACGTATATGAACAGGTCCCAGTCCGAGAAAAGGATGGAAGGATCCTGTTCATATGGACCTGTTGTCAGACAGAACACTAAATAAAATAATAAAATATATTCCTTTCGTACACCTCAGCAGAGCACAATACTTTTTAACGTATGTTCCTATTACAGACTTTCAGCCCTGTTCATCTTGTGTTAACGTTACATTTGGGCAATTTAACTCACATGTCATGAGATTGAACCCTATCCCGAATCAAAATATTTTAGAGTACTTGGAACTGTTAAGTACGTACATATTTTCTTCTTGTTAAAATTATTTCCTTTTTGAGGGATATTTACGCCGACAAACTGAACGCTACATAAAACTTTTGTCCAGCCGCCAGGTTCTAGTTTGATGTTAAACGAAAAAATATTTTAGGAATTTGCATATTTTTCATAGACTGTATCAATACACGTACATAAATATGAAACATGCTTTATTTCCGTTCATCCTCGGATCCGCCCAAGAGTAAGGGGAACTACGACAGCTGATAACACTCCCCAACCGAAAACGAGCAGTCTTTATCTCCAGAAAATACGGAAGATGTGTAACAACATACGATACAACATGTAATGAGTGTCACAGACAGACACACGAACCTCTATAACGTGTTCCGGATGCAATTACATTTCTCCTTCCAGCTGAGAAGACAGAAACCTGCAGCCACGAACACTACACACATTTATTCTTTCCTACTGATTTTCTTTCCAATTTACACAATTTTACATTGCACTTCAAAGTATTTCTCGCCTTTTTATTCATTCCGTTCTTGTCGCCGTGTTTGTCTAGTTCTTAAACAGAACGACAACAAATTAAACACGCGACAGCTGGCAGCCCAGACCGGAATAGAACCTGGTACCTTTCGAATACAATTCTAGAGCGTAGAATCTGTCATTTTCAAAGCGATGTTAATACAAATGACGATGGGTCTTCTGGGTCGATGCGCACACAGCGAAACAGTCCAGAAGACCACCATTTACCATATATTAACACAGCCCTAGAAACCTTCAGTCTTACATCACTACACTCTATGAGAAAACCACGTAAATTCATCTATCGGAATCTCTTTGGATATAACATGAGGGTTGAAAAATAGACTCGAAAACGTTGGCACACCGCCACAATTGTACAGCGCGCAGCCCGGAAGTCCACAAACAGCGTGAAACAGTCCGTTACAGGCTGCTCGGTCATACATAAAGAAATAGATCTCAAGCATACAGTGTATTAAAAAACGCGCAGATAACAATTTTAATATTTCGGTTAATGATATGCAGTGTTGAATACCCGTGGAAAAATCGCGTAACGTCGGGCTTCAGGAACCTGAACTATTCAAGCAGTGAAAGTGAATACTGTATTGTGAAGGTCGCACGTAGACTTGCTTCGTCTAGCGATGAGAGTCATCTAGTTTCGAAAGCAACGTGCCACGATCTCATACGAGAAAAATACGTATGTTACATACAGTCCACACAGATAATAGAACCTTTTTCTTTTTATCGAAAATTGTGTAAGTGGTTAAACAGCTGGGCTACACGTGTCCCACCAATGATCGCCATTTTTTTACGATGTTTAACAAATAGTTATGCTCGTTATATTTCTGAAACTTCATCCCACATAAGAATATACAGGAATACAGTATATAAATAATAATATACTTTTTATGATCGAGTGGCAATGTGTGTGTGTGATTTACGTACGATCGGCCACGTTACCAAAGACGCTAGATGGCAGAATGTTCTATTTTGCTAGTGCTATGGCGAGAACGCTGAAATATCGTTAATGATGAAAAGCCTATTTTTCATTGTTCGAATATGAAAAAAAGATGGGAAAGGAAAATGGGAGAAAAGAGTGAATGAGGTAAGAGTGCGAAAGGGATAAAGGAAAGGAAGAAAGTAGAAAGGATTCTCCGTTAAATTTCAATTGGCCATTTTCACTAGTTCCTTTAAGGCAATGTTCCCATTTCAATTATAATTTTATACAACTAAAAATCAGAACTGAATTATTCCTTAAAATTTCAATAATTATGATTTAAGGACAGCGTTCTTATACCTGAGCCACAAGTTCTGAATGTAATGTCTATTTTATAGCAAATATAAATTTTGCGTGTTCTGAAAATACACTATTCCACTTCAAAAGATTCCCGTCAGGGCGGGATTTTCCTCTTCTACACCAGACCCAAACCGACTACGACTCCCACCCAGGCTTCTTTCCTCAGGGGGTAAAGCGGCCGAGGCGTAAAGCTGTAACTCCACTCCTCCATACGTCAGCAGGGCGTAGTGCTTATGTGAGCGCCAGAGATAATGTTAACCTTTACAGCATTAACTAAATTACACTACTTATTTAATGACAAGGCATTGAGAGCCTGTAATGAGCTTTTACCTTCCCTGTTACTAAAACAGGAATAAATTAAATTTACATTGCAAAACATATTTTAAGTAATGCCACTTAGGCCTATTATGCGTTATTGTCTCTGTTTCATATTTATGGGACAGAGGAAATTACTCACACTGAGAATGAGTTGTTTTAACATCTGTTATCATACACACCCATGGCTGTAAAATATATGATAATACTGAATTCCTCTGACATAATTTAATTCTTAATGCGAGCATGCATATAAGTACCGAAATCCTCGTTCGTTACTTCCATTACAATCTAACTTCCTGCCAATGAGACAAATTCTATTATACTTTGGGGCCAAGTCCACCCATGAAGACCAGAAAAGTTTCCAGTTTATGTGACGCAACCTAATTTGCATAACAAGTTTTATACTCCCTATGTTAAAACAGCCTATTGTTGTTTACAGTTGCAATGTGGAACTTCGGCCGCCAACGGACTCATCCAACCCCCAGACGAAAGACGATTGAATACGGGATGGGTTGAATGAGACTGACAGTGCCATTTTATCTACCACAAATCCTACACGGACCAAACCCAAGCCGACTAACCACCTGAGCTATGACACGGCCCAAAATAGCCTACACAGAAAGATCCCAATAATAAAAAAAGTAACGTAAGCGATAAAGTAAAACAAACTCCTCCTTCGTTGGAAACATCGTTAAACTAACGAGGCCCAAAATAAAATTTGCTTGCCAGCTTAAAAGATGAACACGCTAAAGAAATTTGACGCTGCAAGACTTTTTACATTCCCTGTACATCAGGAACTACATCTTATTTAACGCTTTTGTCCTCGTCCTTTGACCGAGTGCTGTCACAATAATGAACGCAAAATGTTATCTACAGATGAGACATTAACCCTTCAACAACGAATGCCACGTGTTTTAATAAACAACAATGCCGCGTTCTGTAGAACATGTTCTGCAACATGTAGAATGACTTAGTCACTATCTAGAAACACACACATGTGAATTCAGGTCTCAACATCGTGTTTTAAAAATAAATAACACACTTTGGCTTGAGGAAATTAACTGGGAAATACCACGCGTGGTGTTTGCCCTTGTCGGTGTGATCAATAGACTCACTGCGTCTATAGCGTTTTTCAGTATAACTGGAGACTGAAGCGTACACTAGTAACGTGTACTGTGGCTCCCAAGTGGGAGTAGCAAGGAAAAACTGAGCACACAGTGGTGCCAAACGTAACATTGTGGAACGCTGGTTTCCTGGAAATGCAAAGTGTTCTGTATATGTACGCAAAGAATCAAATTCTCGTGAAAACTGTGTATTTCTGTCAGGGCTTCGGACAGGCCGTGCTCCTGCTACCTATCAGTAGACCTCCTTTCACGTTGATTGGTCACTCACAAAGAGCTGAACTCGGCTCAGTCGCCGCTTATGCTGAAAAACAATATAGCTACACTGGAAACCGGCTTATTTTAAATCAAGAGGGGTCGAAATTGACAGTGTGAGAAGTATCTGACAAATGCACCTCCGGGTTTAAGCTAAGTAAACGGAGGTAAGTCACAAAGGACGTCGTATTTCGTATCTGAAAATGTACTACATGGTACATAAAAAATAAACCATTATAACCGAGCTCTTTACCGTATATAATTGCATGATCCAGAATAGCTTTATCAGTTGGGTTGGACGACCGGAATTCGATTTCCGGCAGGGGCAAGATTTTTCCTCCACCATCTTCCTACCAGCTCTGAGGCACGCCCTGTCTCTTATTTAATAGGGTACGTAGGGGGGTAAAGTGATCTGAGTATGAAGCTGACCACTCAATTCCAACTAATGCTCAGTTATAGAATCTGCTGAGATTTACGTCTAGGAAAATAGATGTGTGGTGGATTTATTTGGTGTAGGACAGCGACTGATGGTCGACTCCACTGAACACAATAATGAACCTTGGGGTTCCATAAAAGGCTGGGAATTTCTTGACTAGCTGACCATGCCAAGAACTTCTCAAGAACGTAACATGCAGGTGGACATTGTACTGTAAATAGCAATTTCATTTTCTTGTGAAACTAGATTTTATTCTTATTCATATTTGTCCTCATCCTAAGGATGGGGGAGAAAGCCTCCAGGTATAGATGGCAGCTACAAATATACTGAATAAGCAGTAGTGTACATCCAGCAAGGGGGTCCTCCAGCATGGGGGCTACTGGGAAGGGAACTGTCAGATCCTCACTACAAAAACTAGCATGTTACAATGTTACACACGGTTTCAAACTTGAAACTTTACCTGTGGTTTTGCATGGGTATAAAACATGGTCTCTCATATTAAGGGCTGAACAGAGACTGAGGGTGCAGAGGAGATCATTTGGACCCAAGAAGAATGAAGTGACAGAACAGTGGAGAAATTTACATATGAGAAACTTCAGAATTTTTCACTTCACTAGATATTATGATGATAAAATCAAGGAAATATGTAGAAAATTTTGGTTGGAAGACATGGGTTTAGATGGGAGGATAATATTAAAACGGATCTTTAGGAAATAGGGTGGGAAAGTGTGGACTGGATTCATCTGGGTGAGGACAGGGTCTACTGGAAGGATCTTGTAAACATGCTAATGAATCCTTGGGTTCTATAAAAGGTGGAGAATTTCTGAAGTAGCCAAATTAATTTAAACTTCACAAGGACCCTGCTACACGGAGTTGATTATTTTATAGATAACACTAATAATTGTACAGTAAAATCACAAACTTGTATTAAGTGAGATTTGAGGTTTTCACATTGGTGTTGGCATCTGCCAATGAGTCTACATGGTGCCTAAACTTATTAAAGTAATATAATTTATTATGCATTACTTTTATGTACTTCATTCAAGAACTCATAAAAAGGAGATGAAAATACAGATTAAGTGCCTAATTATTCTTTTAATTCTTTTGTTTTAGGTTTCAGTTGATGCTAGGAAGAGAGCTGAAATGGCTTATGATGATGTTTTGCCATATTTGGGAGAATTTGGACGTTACCAGAAGCGGATTTATATTCTGCTCTGTCTTCCAGCCATTTTGTGTGCTCTCCATAAATTAGCTGGGGTGTTCTTGCAAGCAAATATTAATCAAAAAAATAAATAAAAGAAACTTTAAAAATAAAAAAATAAAAAAAGAATGCAAATTACAACCCAAAAACATAACACAAAATAAAACACTCATAAATAAAATTCCAATTGAAGTGTTTTAAATCTAAGAGACAGAGGTAAATTGGAGAACCAAATTATAAACAGTTCTGAAAGTTCTAACCTACTATGAAGAAGATAAGAAACCATAAATCTGAAGAGGAAGAACTTTTCTTGTTTCTATCCAGGATAATTTTTGTATGTTACATTTTTACAGATGCCAGCTGCCATATGAGTATGACAATGCCACATACAACTTTCCAGAAATCAACATGACTATACCATGGGACTTAAAATCAAAGAGTTGGTCAAGCTGTGCAAGATTAGATGCTAATTTTACTACAGAATATTTTAATGCTGGTATCCCTGCAAACAGTTCTGTGAACTGTGACAAATGGGTCTATGACACAACAGTATATAAAAGTAGTGCTGTTACAGAGGTAAGAATAAATTTATGATAATAACCAATTTACCTCTTGAAGGATAGTCCTTGAGAAGTATAAAAATACTCAGCTAGTCAAGAAATTCTGTCTTAATCCTCCTATGGTGCCATTCTCAACATAAAAAACATTCTTCGTTTTAATTTGCATTATTAATTCACTTTGTAAGGACAGTGAAGAAGTCCAGTTTCAAATCAGTATATCTTATTCATGACATGGGAAGTGATGTCTGATTACAGAATCTTATATGCTCCAGGAAATTTATTTATTCACTCATGTATTTTTATTTGCAGTTCAGTTTGGTCTGTGATAATGCCCACTTTCGTGTCATGGCAGATTCTCTATTCATGGTCGGGGCCTTACTTGGTTCAATTATTTTTGGTGACCTGTCAGACAGGTAAATAACAGTACTTAGTCTAAATATGAAATGTAAATAATGTATGAACGCAATACTGGCAATCGACACGTTAACTCTTGATTTTTCAGATTTGGTCGTAGACCTATCTTCTTCCTGTCCTTGGTTCTGCAAGTTGTTTTTGGTTTGCTAGCAGCAATAGCGCCAGAGTACTACACTTTCATGGCATGTCGGCTCATTATTGGTTCTACAACATCAGGAGTGTTTTTGGTAGCATATGTAATTGGTTAGTAAACTGATTTTAAGTTTATTCTTTCAGAAGGTCTTTCCAGATCCCTTAGCCTAATATATATATATAGTTAAACATATAAATTAATAGGAGCTGCAGGTAACTACCCTTTTATTTAAGAATAACATTAAACTGAGAACAGACAGAATGTATGTGGGTTTCCATTTCTACCTCTAAAATAAATGAATAAATTTACATAATAATAACAACCGACAACTACACTTAATGTATACTCATTATCATGGAGATAATTATATAAAATTTTCATGTTAATCAAATTACTTCCTGCAACTCATAATATTACACTTTACAGATAATATTAGTAGGAATAAGTCTTTATCTTTACCTGTTCTAGCTATGGAAATGGTTGGTCCTAGTAAGCGACTGTATGCCGGAGTGGTCTGCCAGTTTTTCTTCACCACTGGCTACATCCTGACAGCAGCTTTTGCTTACTTCATCAAAGACTGGAGGATTCTGCAAGCTGCTCTGTCTGCACCTGGTATAATATTCCTCTGTTACTGGTGGTACGTACTAATACATGCTTATCTTAATTAGACACAAACTGGAATTATTAAATACTCAGGAAATTCATAATTTCTTTTTGTCTCCTAATAAAGTGATCAAATAAAACTGGATGTAAGAAATGAAAGAAGCATACAAAATGTTGGTCAGAAACTCTAAGTGAAGAATCTACTTGGGAGACCTAAGCATAGATGTTAGGAAAATATAAAATGAACCACAAACACATTGAGCGTGAAGGTGTGGACTGAATTCAGCTACCTCAGGATAGGGTCTATTTGAGGGATTTTGTGAACATGACAACAAAACTTTGGATTCCATAAAAGCAAGTTATTTCTTGAAATGCTGAGTAATTTTAATTTATATAGGGAGACCATCGCCCTGCATTTTGTATTGTTGTCTTTTCCGAATTCCATACCTTCATGTCAGAAACATTTTTTTTTTGGTTTCTGCTAAGGGGGAGCAAAGCAGTACAATTTTGCCAGTTGCACCCATTTCCTTAATACAGTTTCATCTCTGAACATTGTTTCATTTACAACAAGGGTGATATTTTACTTTTAACCTCAACTGTACAGGGACAGAGGATTTAAGTCCCAATACTAAAGGGCTGCTGGATGGACTTGAAATCTGGGACTTAACAGTTTAACAGTACGCTACTGCAACGCATGGCCAGCTGGACCACATTAAGTGGTGACACAATTTCAATAAAGGTTAACCACCATGTCCAGATTGACTCTGGGGTTCACTAGCAGTCTCTGAAATGAATTGTGAAGACAATCACAACTTTCATCTTGTACCTAGGTTAAGAATGCCTCTTGTAGGTCAACAAGGTGTGCTGGTTGGGCACAGGGATAAATTTATCTTTATCTTTCATTCAGACCATGTATTTTGATGATATTTTAGGTTTGTCCCAGAATCTGCACGGTGGTTAATAACAAAAGGTCGTGGAGCTGAAGCAAAGGAATTGCTTCTAAAGGCTGCAAAGGAAAATAAGGTAACCATCCCTGAGGATATTTTGGATAACCTTCTGCCTCAAACTGAGGTTGCCAATGGTGATCATCCAAGCCAACAAGAAGCAAGGAAAAAGAATACAACACAGAAGCAGTCCACACTTCTTGATCTCTTTTATTATCCAAATCTTCGAAAGAAAACACTGGTCATCCTGTTCAGCTGGTAATTATATCAGGATGCTTTCATAATGAGTTACTGTTGATATTTGCTTCTCAACATTTTATATGAATGTAAAATTTAAAACAGTTTGAATACAGTGACCTATCCAAACACACTTTTTTTATGATAAATGAACAGGCACATAGATGTGTCTGTCCTTTCAGCAGAGCATAATGCACGAGGCATAAAAATTTAATGGTGGATGGATTAAAGAGAAAATATTATCATATAGAGGTCCATCGTGTCTCAGAATGTCTGTGTGATAAGTTTTCAGTGAAATCCGACTAAAATTTTGTACGCGTTTATTATCTCTATCATGCATGCTACATGCTGTCTAATCCCATCATCCTTTATATGTTCACCCTAATGTTTTAGAAGAGTACAAATTATTAAGTTTCTTGTTATGAAATTTCCTTCAGCCTCAGTGAATTGCCTATGCTTTTACTTTATAAATGTTAGATATTTGTGAAAAGTTTATTTTTTGTTATTATGGAACCCAGTGGTTCATTATGTTCCATGTATCCAAGCTGGAGGACCACTCCTTGTCTGATGTCTGTGATGGCTTATTAAGTATTTTTGCAGCTACCTTCCATATGTAAAGGTTGTCTCCTACATACTAAACCTACGAACTTGCCATGCGATGGCAAACGGTGATCCATTTAACATGGGAACTTTCATTAACACAGTGATAAATTCATGGGTTGCATAACAGGGAATTTCCTGACCAACTGAATGATCGTCTATCCCAAAGTTAGTTTATTTAATGGAATTCTCTTTATATCTTGTGTTATTGTTTGCAGGTTCGTCAACAGTGGAACTTACTATGGGTTGTCATGGAACACCTCAAACTTAGGTGGCAATGACTACATCAATTTCGTATTGTCAGGTGCAGTAGAATATCCAGGATACTCATTTCTGCTGCTCACACTCAACAGATGGGGTCGCAAAGCCGTACTCTGTGGCTGCATGATTGTGGGAGGAGTGGCTCTGCTTCTGACAAGTGTGGTACCTTCAGGTAACATCAGGTGGAAAGAATGCCATCACCATGTTCAGTTTACATTAGGGTGTTGGAGGTGTTTTATACAACACTGTTCTGTTGTTTTGTAGTGGCCCGAGTGTAAATGGTTTAAAGTATTATAAATGTGATTAAAGCTTCCAGGTCATGTCTTATTGGTTTTATATTGGTGTGAAAAAACTCTTTCATCTTAATGGAAGAACAAAGATTTCGAAAATTTGAAAACAAGGTGCTGAGGGGAATATATGGGCCTAAGACAGAAGAAGTAACATGAGGATGGAGAAACTTCATAATCTTTATTCTTCAGCATGTATTATTAGGATGATTAGATCAAGGAGGATGGGGGAGATGGGTCATGCAACATGCAAGGGAGAGATGAGAAATACATACAAAATTTTTAGAACACTTAATGGTAAGAGAACACTTACAAGACCAAAGCATACATAGGAGGATAACGTTGAGGTGGATCTTAAATAAATAGTGTCTGAGGGTGTGAACTAATTTCATGTGGCTCAGGACAAGAACCATTCATGGGTTCTTGTGAATAAAGTAATGAACTTTAGGGTTCCAACAAAAGGTGGGTTCTTTCTTGACTGTCTGAGCAACTAGTGGCTTCTGAATAAGGACTGTGTACCATGGAATTACTTATTTCATCTTATCAGTCTTTCCTGCTTCTCTCTACCAAGCCAGAGGAAAGAATGCACTTCTGGGATGGGGGGGTACTCATGAGGTGAATAACACTGCTACTGATGATAAGACAATAATGACCAGCAAAGTGGACATAAGCAGGTTTCTAAATCATAAAGGGAGCCAGTGGGAAAAGGTAAAAGTTTAACTGTCTGAACAGAAAAATTCATATTTGGTTCTAATCATGAATTGAACCGTATCTAAATGAGAGTCTCGTGTCTTATCCTGTGCACTGCTTATCACTCACAAAGAGTAGAACTCAACTCAGCTGATTATTCTAGTTCAAAACACTACAGTTAATAAATTTAAACACTGATATAAATAATATAATTTACAGATGTAATTAATGTTCAAAATATAGAATTTACACCTCTGGAGATACATTTTTAAAACCTTTATCATCCATGTGATGCAATTTACATGCAGTTAAACTGGTTGTGTCACACTGTTAAACTTTTAATACAGGATTCAAAGTCTGACTGGCAGTCACATAATACATTGATATGAATTTCCTGTATTCACAAAACATAGGTTAAGCCAATGTGATAGAACATTCACATATTTTAGTAACTGAATAATAAAATGTGATTTGTGTTTTCAGATATGAACTGGTTGATTATCACACTTGCAATGATTGGAAAGATGGTCATTACATCTTCGTATGGCACTGTGTACGTTTTCTCAGCTGAACAGTTCCCAACAGTTGTCAGAAATATAGGAATCGGTGCTGCTTCCACCTCAGCTCGTATTGGAGGAATACTTGCACCTTATACTCTTCTTCTGGTAAGCCAGCTTCGATTCTAGTATTATCATCATTATCATTATTGTCGAAATTAATGTTACTGTTGTTCCAGTAAGGCTAATGATGATAATAGCAATAAGAGGGATAGCAGGAGTAACAGCAGCAGCTACAATGATAATGGTAGCAATAATGATTGTGATGATAATGGTTAATTTTGGTTACTATTTTCTGGCTTTCACTGTACCTACATATCAGATGCTGGGTGCAAGGACTTAATAAAACATTACTTTAAAACTCCTTGAATTATGAGATTATATAGGTATCATGAAATTGTATAGCTACTAAAATCACTGATTTTAATTTAACCACACTTATCACTGCTAGAAAACTTTTAGGTAACTTTCTAAGCTATGTTTATTACAGTGTGGAGTATCCATTCCAATCCTCTTTATGTTTATTTTACTATGAAATTCATTGCATTTTTTGCAGGGTGACCACTGGCGACCTCTGCCATTGTTAATATACGGTGCACTGGCCCTTGTTGGAGGTCTTCTGTCTCTCTTATTACCAGAAACATTGAATAAAAAATTGCCAGATACAATTACAGAAGGAGAGCTATTTGGACTGAGGTAAGTACAGAAAAAACCCGTCACATTTGTATGTTAAATGTTACCAATATTTCTCTAATGGCTAATGCAGTTATAAGTAATAAAAGTGTCCAACTTTTTGATGTTTTGGTGCTTTGGTGGACCTGTGGAATTGACATGCATACATACCTGCCTTACTGCATTGTCATGACATTGTCATGGTGCAGTAGTTAGCACTCCTACTTCACAGTTGGGACATCCTAGGTTTGAATCACAGCCCAGAGACCAGTTACCCTTTTTGAGACTTAATATTTTCCTCAAAATGTGTGCTGGGATAACTTTAAAATATGCCATGACCACTTCTGTTCATATTCCTTCAAATTCCTCATTAACAATCCTACCATATACTGTTTAGGAGAACCTATTGAGTTGATAAAGTTCATTAAATAACCTAAAAACCAATCACTCAATCAATCCTCCTATCCTCATCCTGTCCCCTTCCTTGTACTTGAGATCTGTCTTAAGATTCCCAAGACTTTGGGAGAAATGTATTCATTCTTTTATTATGTCTCAGTCTGTTTTTATCAATTTTGTCTTTATTACATTACTACAAGAGTAAGTTTTATGTTCATATGTTATTATTTTATTTGTTTTCAGACACCAAAAAGATGTTGAAGATGTTGATGGAAACATGGCTGAAGTGATAAAAAATTCAGACTTGAATGTTAACCATGAACAGAAATGATGATCCATGAAGAACCTATAACACATCTTGTGTTTAGAATATGTACTTTTATTCCATCATGTCTCCAAATATTTTACAGTACTTGAATTTTCTTAATAACATTAAAAATAGCCAGGTCACTTTTTATGTGAGGTAATTTTTGATATTAATACACCCGTTATAAGGGTGTGTTTTGGAGAACATTTATTGTATTATTAAGGTTAATAATACACAAAGTTTTATATGTGGCAGTGTGTATAAACCTACTTTTACACAACTTATTTACTTTTAGTTTTCCTTATGAAATATGCAGTTGCTTTGTAATGTAAAAATAATATCAACATTTTATTAGATGATAAAGTACACACAAATGTCTGCTAATGTGACATAATTCAATGGGTGAGTTCTCAAAGAAATGCTACATAATTGTAGAGGTACTCTACTTAGACACTTGACTTGTTGCTGTTATTAACTGACTGATCAACCAACCCAAGTAATGCCACTGTCCAACCTTAAAGAAATTCCTAGTTTATCCCTAAATCTTGGCATTTTCACCACAAAAGCCTATCATTGGAGTCTACTCTGGGCCAGTTTAATCCATTCCATATCCTCATTATCCTTTGATCCATTTTCAAGAGAATTTCCAACCCATGTGTTACTTCCAAATACACACAACCTTCACAGACTTGTAAAAGTGTAGTAGAAATTTGAAAATTCTGTTAAATTAATCTAATTGATGTCTACCAACAATCATTCAGAATCAATAGAATTAAAAGTTAACAGAAATTACATTTCAAACTTGCTGAAGACCACCTTTGTTATATAACTTACTTTCTCAGTATTTAATAAGAAAGGGAATTAAAATATCCTGTTTTAAATGTTACTTAAAAACTATTATTCAAGACAAGACTTAAACCATTAAGAAGTATTAATTTTTTGTGCTATATAGAAGTTACAACATTTGGTAACATTTAATATTAAAGTGATGTTATCATCATATTTGAATCTGTTGTTCATAACATACTTCATTCCTTTCATTACTATTGATTGTGTATTCCAAGTACAAGTGTTTTGGACAGTATGGATTTTTCAGACATGTTTCAGAGTAACAAGTGATAAAAATTAACTTCTATTGGGTACACCACATATGTCTGCCTCATCTCTTGACTACTGAATCCTTTGTTGGATTTAATTACATTTTTATAAGAATAAAATATGAATTTGACCATTATCAGCTAATATCTGTATTTTATTCTAGCACCTAAACAGATTTTTACAGATATCTCATTAAATATAAACCCCATTTAAAAATATTTCAGATAAAGCTCATGCATACTGTTAAAATATTTTAATTCCATACATATGTGAGCCAGTTTTAAGAAATTGGCAAAATTCTGGTTGAAGTAACTTTATCTGAGCATCTCATTACATGTTCAAAGGCAAAAATATTTTAGTAAAAAATGTTAATACCAACCAGGCATATATAGGTTGAAATGCAATGATTGCCCATTAACCTATATAGGCCAAACCGGACGCACATTCAATCAAAGATACAAAGAACATATAACAGCCATTAAACACAATAAAGACTATTCAGC